TAGGCCTAGCGCCTGGATTTGTAAATTTTGCAAGTCTTCAATCATGTTTGCATATACGCGCTATCCACTGATCCAGCCATGTGGCGTGAACAGATTGCTTGACGTGAAAGGTAGTAGCGAGTCGTGCGTGCTCGCGCCTCGCGGACGTGTCTGACACGTGAAACGAAAAGATTTTTTTGGCGGGTAGTCGGCAAAAATTAAGTGACGGTCCCTTTAGTCTTTCGCGCGGGGAAAGATGACATACGCATGGGCGCGCGAATTGATCCACACAGCTCTTGCCCGCATAGGTGAAGACCCCACAGGGTGTGTCACGCACAGTCTCCGCTCGGGGGGGGGGGGGGGGAGCGGCGGCAGTGGCCAATGGTGGCGTGCCAGAGCGCCTTCTTCAGCGGCAAGGGGGTTGGAAGTCATCCTCATGTAAGAACATGTATGTGGAGGATTCCCTCAAGGACATGCTGTAGGTGTCTCGGGATACTGCACCAGTGACTATCGGGTCGGCTATCCAATTCGTCGTGAGTGAACAAAGACCACACTTCTACTGTGATTTGTATCTTTATGTTGTGTGTGGGTGTGTCTGCGGTGCACGCAGAGCCCAGCGAGCTGGCAAAAAGTGTTAGTTTTCGTTGCCTGAGCTTAGCGAATGAAATGAAAAATGTATTTTTTGCCAGTATTTTCACTATAGTTACGGTACCAGGATTGCGACAGCTTTTGTCAGTGTTCTCAAACTGTCTCTTCTCGTTGTAGTTTCCCACCCGCCCTCTCCTTTATTCTCACTTCGGGATAGGTCCTGCAGGCTACGTTTTGTTCATTTATCATATGGGGATATTCTAATTTTAAATTTGGACTTCACGGAGAATTTCACAGTTTTAGGAAATTAGAGGCCACATGCCACGTACTGCTCTTTTCTCTCCGAAACTCACCACTTGCAAGCCAGATATGAAAGAAAAATAGAAAAAATCATCAGTCACACCTCCGGGACTCGAACCAGGGACCTTGCTATTCGGGAGCAATGCTCTAACCAACTGAGCTACAGTATGACTCTTATCCACAGTGATGGTAAATCTATCCTTCTTCGATCAGTCCATATCTGGCTTGCATCATACTGGCAACTCACACAGTTATCCTTACCGGTTTTTCCTCAGGGTTGTGCCTCCGCCGGGGTCCTGAGGTTTTTTCCGCCAGCTTCGGGCTGGTTAATTATCCGGCGGCACCATTTGCCACAGTGGTTCAGTTTTTGCATCATGTTGGTCTGGTACATACGTTTACATGTGTATGTGTGAGGTGGCATGCCCTTCTTCATGCTCATCTAAACACTACGCTAAGCTCTTCCATCTTCCACCGTGAGTGAACAAAGACCACACTACTACTGTGATCTGTAACTTTCTGTTGTGTGTGGGTGTGTCTGTGGTGTACGCAGAGGCCAGCTAGCTGCGAAAAAAAGCTCATACTTCCTCCGGAAACAAAAACTTCGTGACTTTTTTAAATGATCTTTCAAGGAGTTACTGTGCTCAACAGAAGTGTTCTTTTGCAAGAGATACACTTCAACACATTCAATCTACATATCTACAGTATCATCAGGATCGATTAGTGGAAGTAGAGTCGCAGTCTGGGTCGCCATCGCTCCACTCATCACGGCTGAAACTGGTCCAATTGGCAGGTCGATCGACACGATGTAGTATGCTGCGAAGAAGCATCTCCGCGTCCCTTATCGTCTTAGTTGTTACCTGAATGCCTTCTCCAAAATCTCGGCGAAGACCGCGGTACCGCTGCAGCACTGTTACACATTAGTAGTAAGTGCGGGGCGGGTTCTGGTGCACTTTTTGACCTTTGACCTTTGGGCCAAATAAGGCACACTGTGTCGGGCTCGTTTGGTCTGGCTCGGGGACTCCCCCAGGGTTTGACCTTTGGGTTAAATAAGGCACACTGTGTCGGGCGCGCTTGGTCTGGCCCCGGGACTCCCCCAGGGTTCGACCTTTGGCCCTGCCATGCCATAAATGTCATCATGTTCTTTTCCGTGGCGACCGTGCACTTGTGCAAGTTCGTTGTATTCGCACCAGGGAGTAGTAAAATACGTACTATTCCCTGATTTGCACATCGTAGATGTGCAGTGAATGACATATTGCGCATGCGCGCATACGCACGCGGAGCGTGCGACCTTCAGTGGCCCTGCGTGTGGAAAAGACGTATACACAAGGTGTACTAGTACACGTGTCATTGTAGGGTGATAGCCGACCTCATATACGCTGTACGGGGAGATTATTTCCTCAGTATGTTGTAGGCAGTGCTGGAGGTGACGTGACGATGGCGGAGCCAAGTGCAAAACGATCTAGGCAGCCCAGACAGCCCACCTCGAGTGCCGTGCGTGGGTTTTTGAAAAAGTTTTCTTTGCCAGGTTCAGGCACTGATCCTCTCGTCTTTTTCAGCAGCCATCATGACGAGCTCAGACAGGTTCTCCTCGAGGAGCTTCAGTCTCACCCTTTCAAGGTGGTTTTAGTTTTGAGGGTGGAGATGACACGAGAGTCGGCCACGGGTAGTACGTCTGCCGTCCCGTTTTTTAGAAGTAGACCGGCTCGGATCCTCAGCGAAGGGGATATTGATAGTGCAGTCAAGACGATGGTGGCGAGGATCACTGGTCTTATTGATAAGTGGGTGCAGAACGGATCCGACTGGACCGTTTCTCGAGTGAGACAGCTGGATGTGTCGACAGCAAAGTACACTCCTCTTCGAGGTGAGTTTCTGTTCATCCGGCAGTGTTTGTTCGAAGCCTGTCGAATTTCTTGTGGAAAGTTGTAGATGTTTTGTACTAGATGTACAGTTTTTCGTGATTGTCGAGAGGGTGTAGTTGTGATGTGGTGTTACTCTGAGCAAAGCCTTCGTTGTATTTTTGTGGTGTACTGTAGGTGGTGCAGCTGATATCCCACCGAAATTAGAAAAAAAGAAGGCCATCATTAACGTAAAGAACAACGATGACAGGTGTTTGATGTGGGCGTTGTTGTCAGCGCTGCACCCCGTCGAACAGAATGCTGAGCGGGCATCCAAGTACACCCAGTATGTTGATGAGCTGCGGTTCGATGGTGTGATGTTCCCTGCAACGCTCCGTGATGTACCCAAAGTGGAGTTACAGAATGGTCTTGCAATCAATGTGTTTGGCTACGAGGGGAATCTGTACCCACTCTATCTCAGCGAGCGACATGAGACTCCAATCAACCTCCTTCTACATGACAACCACTTCACATGGATAAAAAACTTCAGTCGTGCATGTGAGAATAAGAACAAGCGGGCAACACACTACTGCTTGCGATGCCTCTCCGCACACAAAACAGCAGACTCCCTGCAGCATCACAGCGAGAGATGTCAGGTGATGAAGCCCGTGCCAGTCATCATGCCCACAGCAAAGGACAGCATTCTCAAATATACAAATTTGAAGCACAGGATGGTGGCTCCATATATCATTTACGCTGATACGGAGGCCATCATTGAGCCGATGGAGGAACAGCATGGCAGCAGCACTGTACGCACAGCACGTCACGTGCCATGCAGCATCAGGTATGTTTTGTTGTTGGTGTTGTTTTTGACTAATGTTTGCTGTACTCGGGCCTGCACAGTGCTTGCTGTTATTCCTTCTTGTCTTGTTCACAAATTAGGTGTTCGTGTTGTAGTATGTGCATTTTGTGTGATTCCATTTTTTCAAAATCACTTATTCTTACTTTCCCTCTTCTTTTATGCTCTTGTAGATATGCTGCCATCCGATCCAACGGTGAAGTCCGGGGCGAGTTTGACGACTGCAGTGAGAATGCCATTCACAACTTTTTCGACAGTCTCAAAGAGTTGGAAGGCAGTATCCAGGAGGATTTGGCTGATATCAAGCCAATCCGCATGACAGCAGAACTGGAGCTTGAGTTTCAGAACGCAGTCAACTGCTGGATATGTGACGAAGTACTTGGAGAAGATCGTGTTCGTGATCATGATCATCTCACTGGTAAGTATTATAATTTTTTTGTTTATTTTTGTTGTTTTGCAGTTGTGTGTAGATATGCACATGATGTGTATAGTGCATTTTCATGTCTTTGTAGCTGTTTGCGTCTGTGTTTTATCACGGTGTATTGAATTGTATTGTCTGTGGTATCACCTTCACTGTAGATGTTTACTATGTTTGTGTATTCCCCTCTTTCTGAATATCTGCACAGGCGACTATCGTGGTGCTGCACACTACCAGTGTAATATTCAGCTGAGTATCTACCCAGATCGCCAGATCATTCCGGTTGTGTTTCACAACCTGAAAGGGTATGATGCCCACCACCTCATCGCCCACATTGGTATGACCGAGGTTGAAGAGGTGGAGTACGAGGATTCTAACCAGCGTAAGCGGATTAGGAAGGTTGGTGAGATCAGTGTCATCGCCAACAACATGGAGAAATATATTTCATTCAAGTGGCGTCAGTACCGCTTCATTGACTCCATGGCCTTCTTGAACTCCTCTCTTGACTCGTTGGTGAGCAACACCCCGGAAGATGCCTTCAAGCTTACTCGTACATTAGCCCATCATGACCTTCTCCGGCGTAAGGGTGTCTACCCCTATGAGTACATGGACTCCTTTGCTCGGTTTGATGAGACACAGCTGCCACCTAAATCAGCATTTGAGTCTAGTTTGACTGGAGAAGGTATCAGTGATGCCGACTATGCCCATGCTCAGAACGTATGGCAGGTAAGCAGCTTGTGCCTTCTGTATTGACCCTCGGAATTTCCCTGATGCCATGCTTTTTGCATTATTGTGCTCTACTTATGACTTTGTATGCTGTTGTGATGTGCCCTACACATTTTTTTTGTACTCATTGCTCTCTATCCGTGGATATGTGGATGCTTGTGTGTATGGATGTGTGCATGCGTGTGTGCGTTGCTGTTTTTTGTTTTGTTTGTTTTTTGTTTTGCAGACATTTGAGTGCAGTACAATGGAGGCCTATCATGACCTCTATTTGCAAACAGATGTCTATCTACTAGCAGATGTCTTTGAGCATTTCCGCAAGACGGCATACAAGACGTATGGGTTGGATCCAGCTCATTACCTTACTCTCCCAGGTATGTTCATCAGTCTTTGTTGTTGTCTAATGTATTCTCTCCTTTAGATGGTGTTCTCTGTTAGTATTCTTGTGCTTTCTTGTCGGTGTATTTTTATACTTTTTGCACGGTGTATTGACTTTCGTGTTTGTGTTCTGGTGTGTTGCATGGTGTTATGTAGGATATGCATGGGATGCTCTACTACGGTTCACCCAGATTGAACTGCAGCTGCTCACGGATGTAGACATGCATCTGTTTGTCGAAGCCGGTCTACGTGGGGGCATCTCAATGGCGTCGCAGCGGTACGGCAAGGCCAACAACCCAACAATGGGTCAGTACAATCCTGCCGAGCCCACATCATACCTGCTATACCTTGATGCCAACAACCTGTATGGCTGGGCTATGTGCCAAAGTATGCCGACATCTGAGTTTGCCTGGTGTGACAAGAACCTGTCCGAGATACTGGCACACCCTGTAGATTCGAGCACTGGGTTCATTGTGGAGTGTGATCTTGAGGTACCCTCTTCGCTTCACCACTACTTCAATGATTATCCACTCGCACCGGAAGTGATGAGAACATTCTCAGATAAGCTATCACCATACCAACAAGCACTTGTGGAGGAGCTCAAAGTGTCAGCCGTAGATGGAGTCAAGTTGACACCCAGTCTCCTACCCAAGTCCAAGTATGTGTTACACTACCGTACACTGCAGCTGTATTCGCGTCTGGGCATGGTGGTGACCGCTGTTCACAAGGTGTTGGGATTTCAGCAGAGTGCCTGGATGGCTCCCTACATCAATCTGAACACTGCACTTCGCACGAGGGCTACAACCGACTTTGAGAAGAGCTTTTACAAGGTAAATGCAACCGTTGTGTGCAGTCCCGTATGTTGTTGTTGTTGTTTTGTCACAATGTCATATACATGTATGGTGCAAGTGTGACGTGGAGTATGCTAATTGAAAATATGCTGATGTGAAGGAATGGCATGATATGATTCTCATGTGTCATGTTTGCCTGTTTGTGTGCTGCAGCTGATGAACAACTCAGTCTTTGGCAAGACGATGGAGAACGTTCGTAATCGAACACGCATCGATCTCTTGCGAGAAGAAAGTGAGGAGCAGGTACTGAGGGCAGTGAGCAAGCCTACATATGTGCGGCATGACATTTTCCCGAACGGGCTTGTCGGAATAGAAAAGCAGTACACTGAGATCAAGCTCAACAAGCCGGTCTATGTGGGTATGTCGATACTAGACCTGTCAAAGGTACACATGTACTCCTTCTACTACGATGTGCTGAAGGAGCAGTATGGTAGCAGAATCCGGCTGTTGTACACCGACACCGACTCTGTTATTGTGCACATCACCACCGGTGATGTTTATGCAGAGATGGATCTGTCTCTGTATGACACCAGCAACTTTCCCACTGACCATCCTCAGTACACTTCTGCCAATAAGAAAGTGGTTGGCAAATTCAAAGATGAGCTTGGTGGGAAATCCATGGTGGAGTTTGTAGGTCTAAGATCGAAGATGTACTCCTACATCGGACTGGAATCGGCCAAACGGGCCAAGGGTGTGCGAAAGGCAGTCCTGGCAAATACCATCACCCACAAGGACTATGTAGATGCACTGCTCAGTCATCGTGTGTCTTCCAGGCCTATGACGGGTCTCCGATCACATTGCCACACAGTGTATGAGGAGGTAACCACCAAGGTGGCATTGTCTCCATTCGACTGCAAGCGGTACATACTGGATGATGGCATGGCCACACTTGCATATGGTCACAAGGACATTTAATGGACAGGACCCCACATTGAACATGTTTCATCATTTTCATACAAAAACTCCCCGCCGTTCTTCTGTCATTAATTCCTCCTATCTTGGCATGTCGGGCCGGCTCCAACAATATACATTTTTTGTTAAATATTTCAGGCTTGTGCCTCAATCATATTGCAGGATATAGTGCATCGTGCGGTATAATAATCTTCATTGTATCATCAAATATTACCCTACACACTTTGGGTTGCAGTGTGTGCACAGCATAGTCCATATATCATCAAATTGATCAAGTTCAGTATCTGCGGGCATATATTTCCCCAGCTTGAGAAAATGCTTATATACTTGCGTAAATTTATGCTCACAATGATTACATTAAAATGAGATTAACTCTGCCACACATTATATTACCAGACACTGTTGTTGTTGTTGTTGTCGTCGTCGTCGTCGTTGTTGTTGTTGTTGTTGGTTGTTGTTGGCTGTTGTTGGCTGTTGTCGGTTGTTGTTGGTTGTTGTTGGTTGTTGTTGTTGGTTGTTGTTGTTGGTTGTTGTTGTTGGTTGTTGTTGTTGGTTGTTGTTGTTGGTTGTTGTTGTTGGTTGTTGTTGTTGGTTGTTGTTGGTTGTTGTTGGTTGTTGTTGGTTGTTGTCGGTTGTTGTTGGTTGTTGTTGGTTGTTGTTGGTTGTTGTTGGTGGTTGTTGTTGGTTGTTGTTGTTGGTTGTTGTTGTTTGTTGTTGGTTGTTGTTGGCTGCTGTCGGTTGTTGTCGGTTGTTGTTGGTTGTTGTTGGTTGTTGTTGGCTGTTGTTGTTGGTTGTTGGTTGTTGTTGTTGGTTGTTGTCGGTTGTTGTTGGTTGTTCTTGTTGGTTGTTGTTGGTTGTTGTTGTTTGTTGTTGGTTGTTGTTGGTTGTTGTTGTTTGTTGTTGTTTGTTGTTGGTTGTTGTTGGTTGTTGTTGTTGTTGGTTGTTGTTGTTGGTTGTTGTTGGTTGTTGTTGGTTGTTGTTGGTTGTTGTTGGTTGTTGTTGGCTGTTGTCGGTTGTTGTCGGTTGTTGTTGGTTGTTGTTGGTTGTTGTTGGCTGTTGTTGTTGGTTGTTGGTTGTTGTTGTTGGTTGTTGTCGGTTGTTGTTGGTTGTTGTTGTTGGTTGTTGTTGGTTGTTGTTGTTTGTTGTTGGTTGTTGTTGGTTGTTGGTTGTTGTTGGTTGTTGTTGGTTGTTGTTGGTTGTTGTTGGTTGTTGTTGGTTGTTGTTGGTTGTTGTTGTTTGTTGTCCCATGGGACAATGAAACTACAAAGGAAAGTGGCTACTGACGAGGCACCTGTGACCACGCCAATGCCTGAAACTGATGAAGCTGAGGAACGGAGGATCCTTGAGTTGGCCCTTAGCCGACTTGAGCGTGATTAACGCAGTGTTTACACTCTCCTCAGCAAATCCCATCAAATCGGAGCACATGTTGACGGGAGCTTAGAGTTGGCACTGCTCAGTAATGGCAAAATAATTTAAATGGCCGCCAAGACCTTGCTCAATAGGCGGAAGAGTCACCTGTATGCAATACGTTGTATATGTCGTGTGTGTGTATTGTATATGCATTGGGCTCGAGTAACTCAACAGCATTCGCTCAGTAACACTCAACACTCCCACCATCAAATGGGAATACACGTGTTGAAGCAAGCTTAGAATGAGCGTTACTTGGTAATAACAGAATGAACCCGATGACCTACATGTACGTAAACAGGTGGCTAAATCACTGGTACACAAATGCATTCGGCATGAGATAAGCATTAACTCACTCATCAACTGTAATATGTTCCATGCGGTCGCCAGGTGTGTGTCTCTGCTAGGTAAATGGACGGGATAAGGTATTATGTTCAGTTCATGTTCGAGTCCGTTGTAGTTTTGACAGAGATCGAGATGTCACGCTGGCTGCTGAATTGGATGACGGCAACGCAACCCAATAGTGGTCAGGAAGTTGGTCCACGAGCTGCTGTTGTCCAACGGAAAGATGATACTAGTGATAGTGACGAAGATGAACGCAGAAGAAAGTGTTAAATTTGTTCTCAGGAAGAGGAAGAGAGTGACGATATCATCCTTGCTCCTACCTGTCATGTTGAATCCAGGATTTCTGGGTTTTGTAGGATCGTTGCCACGCAAGCGTCGGTTCTGGTCGGCTCATGCTGATGGCGACGATGATGGTGTTTGGGAAAAAGAGATCTTGGGGACATGGAGTAGACTTGGACAAGACTTCCAAGGTGTCCAAGATGAGAGGTTCATCGAAAAGTTTCGAGTGACCAAATGCACATTTCTGGCTGTGCACGATTTGGTCAAAGATACCATTGATTGTCGGACGACGCACTTGCGCAAGTGATCTCTGGGAAAAACGTCTTGCAATATTCCTCCAATGGATGGCTCATGCCGAGGAATTCCAGCAGTTGGCAAAAGAGTATCGCATTAGTACTTCTACAGTCCATAGCATCGTGCAAGCGTGTGTATCTACATTCCGGCAACTTGCCCCTAAGTTCATTGTCTTTCCCCAAGACCAGCTCAATGTAGATGACGTTGTCTCCGGCTTTAAATCTCTGTGCCACCTACCTGGCTGTGCTGGTGCCGTTGACGGCACTTTCATGAAAATCATGAAAGTGCCGTCAATGGCACCAGCACAGCCAGGTAGGTGGCACAGAGATTTAAAGCCGGAGACAACGTCAGCTACATTGAGCTGGTCTTGGGGAAAGACAATGAACTTAGGGGCAAGTTGCCGGAATGTAGATACACACGCTTGCACGATGCTATGGACTGTAGAAGTACTAATGCGATACTCTTTTGCCAACTGCTGGAATTCCTCGGCATGAGCCATCCATTGGAGGAATATTGCAAGACGTTTTTCCCAGAGATTACTTGCGCAAGTGCGTCGTCTGACAATCAATGGTATCTTTGACCAAATCGTGCACAGCCAGAAATGTGCATTTGGTCACTCGAAACTTTTCGATGAACCTCTCATCTTGGACACCTTGGAAGTCTTGTCCAAGTCTACTCCATGTCCCCAAGATCTCTTTTTCCCAAACACCATCATCGTCGCCATCAGCATGAGCCGACCAGAACCGACGCTTGCGTGGCAACGATCCTACAAAACCCAGAAATCCTGGATTCAACATGACAGGTAGGAGCAAGGATGATATCGTCACTCTCTTCCTCTTCCTGAGAACAAATTTAACACTTTCTTCTGCGTTCATCTTCGTCACTATCACTAGTATCATCTTTCCGTTGGACAACAGCAGCTCGTGGACCAACTTCCTGACCACTATTGGGTTGCGTTGCCGTCATCCAATTCAGCAGCCAGCGTGACATCTCGATCTCTGTCAAAACTACAACGGACTCGAACATGAACTGAACATAATACCTTATCCCGTCCATTTACCTAGCAGAGACACACACCTGGCGACCGCATGGAACATATTACAGTTGATGAGTGAGTTAATGCTTATCTCATCCCGAATGCATTTGTGTACCAGTGATTTAGCCACCTGTTTACGTACATGTAGGTCATCGGGTTCATTCTGTTATTACCAAGTAACGCTCATTCTAAGCTTGCTTCAACACGTGTATTCCCATTTGATGGTGGGAGTGTTGAGTGTTACTGAGCGAATGCTCTTGAGTTACTCGAGCCCAATGCATATACAATACACACACACGACATATACAACGTATTGCATACAGGTGACTCTTCCGCCTATTGAGCAAGGTCTTGGCGGCCATTTAAATTATTTTGCCATTACTGAGCAGTGCCAACTCTAAGCTCCCGTCAACATGTGCTCCGATTTGATGGGATTTGCTGAGGAGAGTGTAAACACTGCGTTAATCACGCTCAAGTCGGCTAAGGGCCAACTCAAGGATCCTCCGTTCCTCAGCTTCATCAGTTTCAGGCATTGGCGTGGTCACAGGTGCCTAGTCAGTAGCCACTTTCCTTTGTAGTTTCATTGTCCCATGGGACAACAAACAACAACAACCAACAACAACCAACAACAACCAACAACAACCAACAACAACCAACAACAAACAACAACAACCAACAACAACCAACAACAACCAACAACAACCAACAACAACAACCAACAACAACCGACAACAACCAACAACAACAACCAACAACCAACAACAACAGCCAACAACAACCAACAACAACCAACAACAACCGACAACAACCGACAACAGCCAACAACAACCAACAACAAACAACAACAACCAACAACAACAACCAACAACAACAACCAACAACAACAACCAACAACAACCAACAACAACCAACAACAACCAACAACAAACAACAACAACCAACAACAACCAACAACTAACAACAACAACCAACAACAACCAACAAGAACAACCAACAACAACCGACAACAACCAACAACCAACAACCAACAACAACAGCCAACAACAACCAACAACAACCAACAACAACCGACAACAACCGACAACAGCCAACAACAACCAACAACAAACAACAACAACCAACAACAACAACCAACAACAACCACCAACAACAACCAACAACAACCAACAACAACCGACAACAACCGACAACAACCAACAACAACCAACAACAACCAACAACAACCAACAACAACAACCAACAACAACAACCAACAACAACAACCAACAACAACAACCAACAACAACAACCAACAACAACAACCAACAACAACCAACAACAACCGACAACAGCCAACAACAGCCAACAACAACCAACAACAACAACAACAACAACGACGACGACGACAACAACAACAACAACAGTGTCTGGTAATATAATGTGTGGCAGAGTTAATCTCATTTTAATGTAATCATTGTGAGCATAAATTTACGCAAGTATATAAGCATTTTCTCAAGCTGGGGAAATATATGCCCGCAGATACTGAACTTGATCAATTTGATGATATATGGACTATGCTGTGCACACACTGCAACCCAAAGTGTGTAGGGTAATATTTGATGATACAATGAAGATTATTATACCGCACGATGCACTATATCCTGCAATATGATTGAGGCACAAGCCTGAAATATTTAACAAAAAATGTATATTGTTGGAGCCGGCCCGACATGCCAAGATAGGAGGAATTAATGACAGAAGAACGGCGGGGAGTTTTTGTATGAAAATGATGAAACATGTTCAATGTGGGGTCCTGTCCATTAAATGTCCTTGTGACCATATGCAAGTGTGGCCATGCCATCATCCAGTATGTACCGCTTGCAGTCGAATGGAGACAATGCCACCTTGGTGGTTACCTCCTCATACACTGTGTGGCAATGTGATCGGAGACCCGTCATAGGCCTGGAAGACACACGATGACTGAGCAGTGCATCTACATAGTCCTTGTGGGTGATGGTATTT